AACGCAGCCCTCATTCCCCATTATTTTGTGATGAAAGGTTATTCTTACACTCATGAGATATAAAAGAAGCTTGGAAAGAGGAAGTTCAAGTCAACAAAGTGGAAAGGAAGAGATGCAAAGTGCAACAAGGAGAAACGATATTCATTGTTTAATATGCCACTTGTCTTTTCACAAATTAGACTTTCATATTTATTGTGATTTTAATGAAAATATATTTCTGATAAAAAAAAAAAATACATGATAACTACTAGCACCAACTAGGCTCAAAGAAGGAACTTGAAAATGGAAAATCAAGATCTCTCATACAGAAATATGCACAGAAAAGCCTTGAAGCATTCTCATATGTCGAGGGCATAGCAACTTTTTCACTGCAACAAAATCTTCTCCTCTACATATGCTAAGTGAGACTCATGCATTACAGAATTCAGGAATTGAATCATCCCCTTCAATAGAAAATAATTGTGAACCATCAAATTATTCTGGATAAAAATCTATGTCCACTGGCGGACCTCTTTGAAGTTTTTCTTGTAGATCTGATTGTTTTGGTAGTACAAGCTCAGTTCCCTCGCCAAATGTCGAAAAATATCTCTCTAAAACCATCTGCAACCAGAAAGGGGCAGTACAAGAGAAAAAAGAAGATAGGGTTAGCAGAAAAATAGAGAGAACATCACAATATGCATACATCAAATATCCTTGACATGAAATTGAAATAAAATGTGAAGCGCACCACGGCAGCATAGGCATCGACTTTCTTTTGCCGAGTAGACTTGTTGAGGCCCCTGAAAGAGTTGAGAAATAGTTGTCACAGATACAAGTCATAGCTATTGAGAAATTTCGGTCAACTGTAGAAACATTTGTTTGGCATACATGTATTCAACAAAGTAGGTACCATAATTTATAAATGCTTGTGCAATTTTCACATTTCAGTGTAATAATGCAACCTCTAATTTATCAACCTGTATTTCTGCACGGTAAGATGAAGCATCTCCCTTCAAATGTTAAAACAAAAACAAGCACAATAAGGTGTTATAAAGTGCAATCCCAATCACAACAATAAACCTCAATTTGCATGTCAAACTTGAGATCAGTTCAAGAAATAAATTAGATCTTCTACACAATTTTTTTTTTTCTTGATGCTTAATAATCCAAATAGATTAACAAAATGTGATGATATCAAAGAAGAAAGAAAGAAACTAATCTATCATTATATGCAGCAGAGAAGTCTAACATCCACTGAAAAATGATCCTTTCCTATTGATGATCGCGGTGATACCACCTTAGGAAACCTACCCTGCACATTTAGATACCCTGCACATTTAGATACCGGTCAACATGTAACAAACCAGTTCATAGCACATGTAACTCCCAAGAAAATCCTAACTTGCAAGCTATTCAAAGATATAGAACAATTTCGCAAAGACCAGTGAATTTAACTAGGGCAGATAGCAAAATGCTACATAACCACAAAAACCTATCAAAAAAGTATCACTAAAATAAAATTCTTTAAAGGAGCAATTACATGTCAATCATTCGGTTAGTGGCTTCCGTTGATGTACCGTGTTCATCTTGTAGGTACACTCTCCAACCCCTGAATTTTAAAACTTTGAATAACAATTATAATCCATATCTAAATGAACAGAAGCAAAACAAGCATAAAGACAGGTACAGTTTCACCTGTGAGCAGCTAGAACAGCAAACCTTCCAGCAACACTACGAACTTTGTTGGATTGTGGGGTTTCCTTACCATCCCAAGATTTTGGAAGCCCAATTATGAATTCATCTACCTCCTATATACAAACCATCATTTCCTTACACTATCATCAAAAACTAATACATGGGCCTTCTGTTTTTCTTAAGACAAGAAAACAAGAGACTTCTACCTCGTTTTCTGCAATTTCAAGAAGTCGAAGCTCAAGCTTTTGTCCTCGCAATTCCAAAACCTAAACATAACATTAATAAAACTCTAAATCTTCAAAAAAAAAATACTAAGAATAAATGGTAGTAATACCGTGAGAGGGCGAACGGTAAAGCCTTTGCTAAGGGCAACACCAGAGCGAGACAGTCCCAAGTCGACCCCTAGACTAAACCCTCCTCTCCACAGTGGGTCATTCTTCCGGCGAAGGGCATTGGGGGGGATTTCTGGAATGGATAACAGAGCCCTTAATCTTCTTCGGCATGGCTTATCACTATCAAGTTGAAGAGAAGAAGTAGTGAAGTTGGGAAATAGGAGATTGGTGGATGCCCTTTTAGAGAAGAAAGGCAACTGGTTTGAATTTGAGAGTGAACAAGACATTGTTTCCTCCTGCTCCTCGTATTTGGCTGGCCTTTGAGGATCAGTTTTGTCATGATTCAGTTTTAAGTTTTTAACCTTTATTTTTTTGTATAAATTTTCATAAAAATCATTAAAAAGTTTTTTTTTCCCATAAAAATTCATTATTTTTACAAATGTTAGTCATTTTAGAACGTTTTTTTTATTTTTTGCTATTTTTTATTTGTTTTTAATGAGTGTTAAACAAGAAAAAAGAGAAAAATCGAGTAAAAAAATGTATACCAGAAAAATCTTGTATAAAAAAATATGTAGGAGAAAAAAAAAATCAAAGAATGACAAAATTAAGAGAATAAAAAGATAGAAAAATCAAGAAGTATAGAATTTTAAAGAGAATATAAAAAGATATTTTAATGTAAAAGTTAGATATTGAAAGTGAATTAATTTTTTATGTTGGCAATGTCATAAAAAATAAATTAAAAAATATTTTCTGATATTTAATTATATTATAAAGAATAAACTAAAAAATAATTCATTAATATTGTTTTTTCAAGTTTATTTAACATGTATACACACACATTATATGACCACTTACAATAAAAAAAATATAAAAAGCAAAATAATGGGGGAAATTTTATTATATCATATATTTACATAAAACTTATTTTATAAAATATAACTATACAAATAATATACATTTTTTAAATAAAATATTAGAGATATATAACCTTATTAAATATTTCTTAGATAAAATCTATTGATATTTAAAAAAAAACTTCAAAATAATTTTTTTTTCATATTGTAAAAGCCAAATTATTTAATGGTATGTAAGGGTTAGATATTTTGATTTTATTGGCATAAAGATTTTGTATTGAGGATAAATAGATACAATTTTGATAAGTTTTTGGCATTAAAGACTTTTTTGTCAAAAGAGTTTAGGTAATTATCCATTTAATATATATACACACACACCATATTTTTATATTCTTTAAGCTTGTGTAAATAAATATACACACTTTATATTAAATATGGTTATGCATAAATGTTAAATTTTGATATTATATTTATATATAAAGTCCAAATAAAAAAACATAAATATTCTTGATCAAATAACAATATAAATATACTTGTTAAATAATAAATATAAAATTTGTATATCCTCCTAAAATCATCTTAACAGATAGACTTATAATAGTGTTAGTTTATGAAAATTTAAACCTAAAGTTTTTTCAAGTTAATATATTCTTGTCATAAATACTTTATTTTAGACTAAATGATCAAAAACATCTTAAAAAATGATCTTATCAAAGCTTTTAGTTTTTGTAATTTTTGCATATAATTTATTAACATAAGTTGATTTTTGTCTAAGTTTTGAAGTGTAAATGCTACCTCTCTAAATTTCTAAGAAAACTTTTCAATATTATTATCTTCATAGATATTGTTTTTTATGTTGCTTTTTTTGTGCACTAGAAAAAGATCTTTTTTTAAAAAAAAGAAAACAATCATTTTCAATTAAAATAAATTGTAATTTGGTATTTTCTTTTAAATCGATATCAATTATACAAAATTCTTTTTTAACAATTATATATAAATTATATTTTTTTTATTCCATCATAATAATTCATGCGGTAATAGTGGATAGAATTATTCTCGTATACGCCACATGAATAAATTTTTTATCCATAACGAGCAAGTGAGATTTTGACCAAAAAAAATTAGAAAAACAAACATTTAAAATATATTCAATTAATTTCGTAATTAATACAAGAAATTATATGCAAATACTATGATGCAAGGGATGCAACCAGGTGACATGTCCTCGAAAACACTAGTATGAACACTTTTAAGTAAGAAACGAGGAAGCTCAGTGATAATATAGTTGAACCTATCAAGGTTAGGGATGCTATCCTAACTTTGATAGGAATGTTCATCATGATATTGAAGTGGCCTAGCTAAGTGAAATAAAAATCATGATCCTATCCACAATAAAAAATCAAACGCAAACTACATGACCTTGATTTTCCTTTTAAGCACTTGAAGATTTCAAGAAATAGTATGAGCAGAGCATAGTTTTTGTTTATTACAAATAAAATATTTTTGCTTAGGAGTTTTTATTATAGTTTTTGTCCATTTCTTTTTTATTCCAATTCATTGTGATTTTTTTTTTTAAGAGTTATAAAAGGGAAAAAAAAATAAGTTGATAAGATATAAAAAATGATGAGAAAAGAAGACATTTGTTTGGGACAAAACAAGGCGAAATTAACTATAAATCTTAATTAACTATAGAGACTAATTTATTATAAACTATAGACTAATTTATTTAATTTTGTTAAACTATAGAGACTAAATCTTAATTAACTGAAATAATTGCAGTACCGATTTTAATTTCTTTACTGTTATGAATACAATATACTAAAGCTCTTAATTTCTGAACCAATTGACATATCTTTCCAAACTCTTTCAAGAATTATAATTATTAAAAACAATTTACTAAACATCATATTATTATATTATTATAAACCAATCTTTTTTTATTTTAAGCAGTCCTGTTCACATGAATTTTAATTAAAATTACATATACAAATAGAAATTAACCAATTTAACTGTAAATTGTCAAACTTGAAACATTTTAATTCATTATTTTTCCATTTATCCACTCATCAATAATTTAAATAAAATATATTATATATTTGTAGATATATTAATAACCAAAATAATACACCTGCAAAACAAATTAATTCTAAGTAAATGACAAGCTATAATGATGGGCATACCATAAATATACATCACGAGTTGCAGTCGTCTCCAAGTAACAACAAAAATACACCTTCACCAACAAGCAAACTTTAAAGCCTCAGGTTTCACAATTTATCCCAACTCCTTTCGCAGCACTCTTTCTCATATCAGGTAGAGGATGATAAGAGGAGGAAATTTTTACAAGTTTTGATACAAGACAACGGCATGGAAGATGAGTAGAACCAAGGTTGCTGCAACAATTCCTAGGTGTGCAACGCCATGAATAAGTTCTGTTTACGAGCATACTCTGGAATGAGCCTGTTGACAATATCAGTCGGTATGCCCGAGAGCTCTGCCGAAACGAAACAGATTTGTAAACTATCAGTGGCAAGAAAACTGAGGCAGAACAAAGTGAAAAACAATTCCAAATAGAATTCAGGTGAGAAAACCACATAATTGAGGCTACTTTTTTTTGTGGCAAGGAAAGCTGTTGTGGAAGTTGGAAGACGTTCATTCAAGGACTAGGTTTAGCTTCTTGAATATGTCTCCAAATAAACATAGCAGCACCATGATGCACTGAAGGAAACTTACCCTGGGGTTTAAAATTAAATAGTGGAGGAAGAGGGCGACCATTTGGAAGGCGGGTGGTTGGATCTCTCAATTCATCAAAGAAAGGGTGAACACAGGCTTCCAACTGCAGTACCACCAAACAACAAACCAAATTGATTAATAAATGAAGCTAATCACTTGAGCAAACAACGTAAAAACATGATAAACTTACAGCAGTGCATCGCAAATTAGGAGAGTACTGGAAAAACCTACAGACGAGGTCTACTGCTTCTGGGGGTAAACGCTTTTGGAAGACCTGGTGAATGGGAATATCAGACAAGATCTCAATAGTAAAATGAATTCTTGTAACAGAAAATATTGATTACTAATGCGATTGCAAATGACAATTGCAGTGCTGATACAAGAAGCTAGTGTTAAAGATAGGAGATGCATCAAGATGCAGGCATTCAGATATGATAAGACCGTTCAACAAAAGAACAGTCTATCTGAGAAGAAAGTTGTGCAACTAATATATGTTTTGGCTGCGTGTTAATCTCTTATGAAAGGACATTACATGTATATAGGATGCTTTGAGATTTTTACTAAATTTTCTATGTTTAGCTGCAAACATTTCCAAGATTTAAGCAACTAGAGTAGGAACAGGTTACACAGGATGAACACATAGACAATGACTTGGAGGACACTTTATTAGTTTTAACAATATGAAATCCATTTTTAAGAGAGAGAGAAAAGACTTAAATGTAGTAACCCGTATATCATGCTGCATAATTTTCGGCCTACTGAAAACAAAAAACAGATGTAGAATAGAAGCCAGAAACATCATCAGCCCTAGCTCACATTTATGTCTCCTTTCTCATTCTCAGCCAATTAGACAACATAATTCAATCTTGCCATCTCACTAGCTGTTCTACACTCTCTAGAGTCAATAGGTTAAGAAAATTCCAATAGTAATAATAACCTTATTTCCAATGCACTGCATTAAATCTAACTATAAGTCTCAGACTTGTACCTAATTCATTTGTTTTTTTGTTAAGAAAGAGCATAAAAGAACAAGAATTGATAAAAAATGTTCTAAGCTGTTTTGGTATCTTAGACATATAAAGATATAATTTGGATAGCACACCATTTTTGTATTTTCTCATAATGGCCACAAATGAGATTTATTTGCCCACGTTTTGGACTTGCATGAGACTTTCATTGTTTAAGATATGATTATGTGCATCATTTGACTTGTTATTGAATGCATTCACAAACTTTAATTTAAAAAACTACAATTTGAGTTATTTATTTCAAAGTTTGGATGATTATTTTCATATTTCAATTACTCTCATCTCTCACTCCACAACTATCCTGCTAGTCTGACACCCAAAAAAATATTCTCCACGTACTGCTGCTGAATCAGTGGAAGTTCTTCACCATGAAACAACTTCGTAGGGTTGCAGCAGCGATACGGCAGCATTGGCTTATTGGCAGAGTGGGCTGACAAGAGTGGAGACTTGGACAGTGGACAGTCCAAGGCATGCTGAGACACAGTAGGACTGGCAGCATACGTGTTGACAGTTGGGCAGTTGGCTTGTGGGGGGCAAGCCAAGGGAGTTACGGCAGTTTGGGACAGTTGGAGGCAGTTTTTGGCAGTTTGTGGGGGGAGAAATGGCCAGAACAGAGAGACATGTGTCTTGAATGGTGCTGGAACTTGGGGACAGTTTCCTATTGTACCTTCCACTATGTTTTGTAATATGTAGGCTGTAAATATTATTATGTAGCACGCAATCAGAAATTCCATAGCACACAAGATGGACATTGTGTATTCCTTTTGTTGAGAGTTAATAAAAGGTTGGGAATTTTCCTGTAATCTGCCGTGTTTGAGTTTATGCATTATGTTGTTCCTATTCATTTGTGTATTCCGCTTATTTACAGCATTGAAAGAGTCTGGGAAACCTCTTAGGTTTATGGGACAAATTAGTTATAGGTAAATACTAGTGAATTGGTGAGTGAAAGGGCTAAGTCTAGCAGAACTAGACTGCTGCATAGGGGCTGAAAATTTTGATGAGAAAGTTGACCCTATGACAATTGGTATCAGAGCCTGCCTACTAAGAGACAGCTATGATCCTTCACTTACTACTATATAATTAAGTGATTTCATACCAAACAACCTATGTCCCATTTTCTTAAAATCTAGTAGCTACTCGGGCTTGCTCAGTAACTTTTGGGCCACCTTGTGGCAACTACTGTATTTAAAATTACTACTATACCCTGCAGTGACATTTTATCAGAGGTAAAAACTGATTTTGGGAGAGAGGAAAGTAACAGAGGACTTATTTTTCCCATAGCAGCTCTATGGTCACCATAAAAACAAAGCCAAGCAAATCAACAAGAAAAAAAAATTGAAGATACAAAATTTTCTGAAACTAACATAAATCATGAATAAGTTAAACTCTAAACTCGACTCTTCCAGACTAATTCTCAAAACAATTTCAGTAAAAAAAAGAAAGAAAAAAAGAACAGAAGAAGAAAGAATTAAAAGACTCTGATCACTTCCACAAAATTATCAGTAGTTGACTATCAAGAAGGATTAGGTTAGTATCTTGACTTGCCATTAGATCAGCTGGCCTCCAAAGAGGAGATATTCATACAGCCATAGCATGGATGCAGTATCAAAGGTTTGATAATACTGAACATATATGCTAAAAGAATATGTAGCTCTTAAATGAATCATCTAAAGATAACATATGAGATTCTAAGACTTCTGTGACAGTTAAATCACACCTTTCCCAACTAAAGAAATTTAAACTAATGGTTTATTAACTATATACAATTTACTGCTTCTCAAGATCACCAAAACCCGAGTTAGCTAGCCCAAAGTAATTCCACAAGCTTACTCATTTGTTGGGTTCTATATGCATCAAAGATAGAAAATTTGCTTACCTAAGCAAGCTGAATTTATAAACTAATTAGCAACTCATTAAAATCAGTATAGAGGAGGAATAATGCATACTTTGTGCCATGGATGAGGCTTTATCTGTGGGAACTTAAATTCTGTATAGTTTGGGTTCATGCACTTTATCTCCTCCCTGGTTGGTGTTCCCAGAACCTGAAAAAACATGGAAGTGTTAGCACTTTCTCCTTGGGAGTTGACATTTTCAACTCAGTGCAATCAGAAACACAAATGAAGGCATGTGAGAAAGGTAAGTTTTCTGTCTTCAATTCCATTCTTAATCTCTGAAATTTAAATTGTATATTTCTATAAAATTGAAGTTCTTCTTCTACCTCTTTGATGTTTCTGTTTGCCACAAATTGGCAAAGGAGACAATATAAGCTAAGATTACAAAATCCAATGTCATTATTCTTCAACATTTACCCATTTCCTATCCAACTTAAAGTCATCTAGAAAAGATTTTCAGAATCGAATTCCTTTCCAGGGTGATGAGATTCAAGAAAAAATAGTCCAATAAGTATCTTTCCCATTCCAAAACATTGAGCTTCACTTTTGTGCCATTATAAAACTTGGGCTGCCTTGTTCAGCACAGGGAACTAGTCAAATCTAATTCAGCAATCACATCTTAAGAGGAAAAATATTCTGAAAAAACATGTGAGAATCAATAGCTTTGTCTACCTTAATGATCTCAACTAGTTGGTCAACTCCACTTTCACCAGGAAACAAAGGCTGTAAAGTAAGTCAGAAACAATCAATTAATCTGAAGAAACAAAAGGGAATCAACAACTATAGTAAGCAGAGTATAAACCCACCTGCCCAAGTAGCAACTCAGCCATCACACAACCAGTAGACCATATATCAATAGCAGTTGTGTACTCGGTAGCACCAAATATCAGTTCTGGAGCCCGATAGTATCTTGAACATATGTACGAGACATTTGGCTCACCTTTCACCTGTTAAAATGACAAAAGAAACAAACTCAAGCAAAGGAAGGAGAGGCAAGCATAAATATTCACTGTCATATGAAAGCTTACCAGCACTTTAGCACTCCCAAAATCACAAAGTTTCAGCTGATGTGTGGATGGATTCACCTAAGCATGGACAATTTACTATTAAAACTAACAGAAAAGTAGACATTTGAATATTTATGAAATGAATGCCAGTGTCAAATAGAAAAACTAATTCTATCCAATCAAAATCAAAGCAAATACAAATTATGGGTTGGCATAAAATGAGGATGACCCTATTCTGTGTAAGCCACATTGACCGCAACTAGATGCTACTAAAAGTGAGCTGTGCTAAACAACTTAAACAGAAAGCTCTTGGACTCCAATAAAGAATAGTTTTTCCATATATTTCTTCAATTTGTTCCAGAAAAAGCCACACAGATTCTATACATATACAGAGTATAGGAAAGTTTAGTTGCATATAAATTCCAAACTATTTAGTTCTCAATACATATTTTGAAAATGAAGTTTCCCATCAAAATGTTACATCAATCATCAAAACATGGACCACCATGTGTGTAACTGAATTGGCTAGGCAACCACTAATTTGCATACTAGATGCTACTTATACATATAAATCTCATTCTACATGGACATGGGTTTCACCAAATAAAACCTAAATACTTAAACAGAACATCTTACCAGTAAGTTTTGAGGCTTGATGTCACGGTGACAAATACCAATGCAATTGTGTATGTAGGCAAGCGCCCGACATATCTGCACTCAAAAAAGGAAGAGGAATAAAACAATAAGAATTGGTGAAGATTTATAAACACATTACCATTTGCCAGGATTTGAGCCGTGGTAACTTTAGCATAGTTAATCCATGGATGACCTACACTACTTTTCAATGTTTTCATCATACAGCGGGGTGCACTAGCATATAGGATGCTATGATAGACATGATAACGCAAACCATTTTATTAGTGGAAAATATAACTAATGGTTGAACACAAAATTATTTGCTCCTAGAAAAATTTGTTCGTCCATCCATGTCATGTAGTCCTCTCTGTGATGAAGCACCGTTCCCTTTCCACTTCTCCACTCCCAGGGAGACAAAAAAATATTAAAAACAACTAAACAAAGCGCAGGGTAATGAGTTGCTTGACAAACCATGCCAGGCAGACAGTGTCAAGATAAACACAGAAGCTGTGTTCCATCCCCTTAAACACCTAGGCTTTGATGCCAGGATTAAGTCTTGCATTTTAAAAAGTTTCATGTTATTACAAAAACCCAGAAAGAAGTCGCTAATCAGAAGATAGTTTGACTATACCAAGGACTTTACCCTCAGTGTTAGAAAGAGACAAATTACTGAAGAGTCATGCATCTCCATGCCTCTTTCTAGCCTAGCCATGTGTAACAGAACAGTGGTCAGTACATGATCCTCATAAACCTGAAATGGAATTCCGAAACTCACTTTTTTCCTTTATTTCTCTTCTTACTCTCTCAAACCAAACTAAAACCTTAAAACACTAACTTGCATCCTGAGAACTCAACCCTATTTCTGAAATTGGTGATTAGATCATTTAACCTTCCAAAAGCACCACCATAAACCATGTCATTCATAACATATCAGTGGCCAGCAATAAGCCACCGTATCATTCATCAAGCCACCTACCAGCTATATGCCCTTTACATCCAATTTTGCAAACACTATCCAAAATGAAGAATAACAAGGTATGAACAAAGATTTAGACCTTACACTAACATGGAAGAACAAAAATTGGGTTGACATCTTAATCTCCAGTATATAACTTAGTTAGAACATTGTTGCAAAAATAAAAGCAATGAAATTATGAGAAAATACTAGATTTTAGTTAAAACTGCTTCCCACCATATAGCCACTTGGCAAGATGTAGCATTTCATCAGTTCAAATTACATGTTTGGAGCATGTCTAAGATGGCACCAGAAAATCCCTTGCACCTTTCAAATACCATAGTTAGGGGGGGAAAACTGCTAGTTTCTACAGAATTCCTGTAACTTATTTTAATTTTTTTTTTTAATATCTCACAAGAAGCGGGATTGGGACATATCCACCTTGATGTTTTGGATACAGGCCTCATGCTTGGTAGCCCACAGGAACTAGAAAATCACAAGATATCCAAAGGTAAGACTTGAACCTGGAACCTCCCCATATCCTAGGGCAAGTCTTAACCACTTTTGCTAACCCTTGTCGATTGAATTCAAATCACTGTTTGTAAGAGTACGATTGCTTTATTCCCCCCACTCAATTCATGAAAGCAAGATACATGGTACTGAAAATAGTCATAAACTAGAGACTAAAAAGGTAAGATGCCAAAACAGGACATAAGAAGGAACTAGCCAAATTGCTAATTTACCTGGTAGGTGTAGAGTTTAACATATATTAAAGGCATTCGTTGGTTCATCCTGCTGTAGTTCCTAGCAATACGATTAACAGTTTCAGGAACGTATTCAAGAACAAGATTTAGGTAGAGCTCTTCCTTGTCTGTAGTAGAAAAGAAGCTGTGTTTAAGGGCAACGATATTTGGATGATCCAGCATTTGCATAATCTGTAACTCCCTGTTCTTGTAGCGTTTGTCTTGGAGAACTTTCTTGATGGCAACAATCTCTCCAGTTTCCCTACATTTCGCCTGCCAAAAGTAGTGCAGATGAAGTTTTTTAAAACAAATGAAATTTAATGGAAAACAGGAAGCAATTAATTCAATGGACAGCTATACTTACTTGAACGACAACACCAAAGGAACCGGTTCCAACCACATGTTCTGCTATATAACTGATAGTCTGTCAACCCAAACAAAGCAGAAGTTACTTAAGATGTAAAATTTTCATCAACTAGGATCATATACAGAATGAGGTTTCTGTACTGCATTAGTAAGTTTCCAACCTGCCTAGATTGACCATTTCGACCACCAATAGTGGTCCTGATGACATGCCCAGCTTCTGCACCCACACCATCAATTACATCGGGTTCACTATCCTGCAATGGAATAGATAGAAGGACTTCAGTATATACAGAAAACACTAGTGAAGCCAGGTAAGTTCAATCCATTATGAAAATTGAGCATTGGTTTCTAGAATGAGTGAATCTCCCACATAAAGATCAAATTACCACGCAAACAATTTGCCAGTGTTTCAATTACAGAAGATACTCAAAGGAGGAAGCCAATCATTTGATATCTACCAACAACAGAAAAGGACAACTCAGAATAATTTAAAACAGAATCTTCTACAACATAGCTACTCACTCTGTCCTCGTCATGGTCCACCTTGTCCCTTAATCTCATCTCAAGCATCTCCCTGCCCAGCCAATCCACAGAACTAGACGAACTTTTGAAACCATTAACGGACCTGGAACTTCCAACTCCCCCATTTCCTAAGCTGGCAGACGACATGAGTACACGCAACAAGTATTGCACTTGCTAGTATTTCCTACCCTCATGACACTTTGCAGTTCTGCAATCCACCCAATCCAAGCACTTATCTTCCTAATAGAATTACAAAATTACAAGTCAGACACGGAAACTAAACATGAAAAAAAAAAAGATGCTAGAGGAGAGTTAATTTCACATAAAATAATTTATCAATCAACTCAAATAATTATTCACGCTAAATTTCACATCATATAATCTACAAACAACTTGAAAAGTTAACATAACCAATTAAAGCAAACGAGGGTTCTTTATGTAAGCTCGAAACTGCATAAACTCCATCAAATAAATGCTCAATATCCACGCTACAACTACTTAAACGATAAAATCAACCCAGAATTGTATGCAGCACCACAAAAAAAAAAACAGCCCAGTTGCTTGCATTTACTCTGCCTCTGTCAAAACTATGAACCAACAAAAAGCTCAAAGATTGTAACTTCAACTGGAAATCAAAGTCTCTTGTCATGATCTAGCAATAAAGAACAAAACCCACAATTTAAACGACGCAAAGAAGATGAAAAGGAAAAACATCAAACACTGAAACAAACTTAGACAAGACTGGTCAGATCTAGACCTAAAATTGAACCTCAAAAAACCCGGAAAAAAAAACATTTGATTAAACCATAATTACACCAACTCTTCAACAGATTCAACACAGATCATGATATAATAAATCAAAGACTCGAAGAATAATGATCATACTAACCTGGAAATGCTTCAGGAGAGAGGAAATTTCTTGCATTTCAGACTCCAAGGGAGCAAAAACAAAAAAAAAAAAATGTTCTCTGACTGACTGATTGAAACAAATATTTATTGATATAATAAGTAGTGCTTTTTACTCAAAGTATATTAATTAGTGATTTTGGGTTCACCACCTTTCGATTTTCGATTTTCGATTTTCGATTTCCTTTTTAAAAAAAAAAAAAAACAATTGATTGTTTGACAGTTACCTGACAATGTTCAACAGCCTCTTCTCCCTTCTGATTCTGACCTCAATATATTATCCTCTGCTGCCCCTTCTCTCTTTATTTTATTATTATTATTATTATTATTATTATTATTTCATTATTATTTGGGTGCATGACACTTCGATGTACGCATGTATAATTTATAATATGATTATAATCTCTTTAATTTTTTAATTTAGAGGGAGACTGTATGTATGATGATTATATTTTATATCAATACATACCTTATGTTATACACCCCTCCAGTATGTTTTCGTTCTCGTGTATAATAATTAATAAAGCATGACTGTCCCTTTTTATTTAAAAAATCATCTCATGCATGGTTGTATAAATATAATTAACAATGCATTATTGTCCCTTTTTTATTTAATTTTTAATATAAAATTAGGTAGGATTCTAATTTAATTTATAACATAAGAAAAAAATAATGTCGATGTTATTTAATGTACTAAGATGAATTTAATGGGAGGAATTTAATGCTGACTCCAATATTTAAATCTAAAAATAAATATATTTTTTCAATCATCATATAAATCCATTAAAATTAATATGAGTGATTTACTAATTTATACATGGATGCTGTCCAAAAATTCCAGGCCTCTCCATAATTAGCATTTGACCAGCCACGCTTGACAGCTGCAATGACTAGCTGTTGCTGATGCTCCATATATATATATATATAGATCTTGAATGGTAATTAATGGATGCATTCAAGCATATTATAAATGATAACAATAATAATAATATAAAAGATAATTTAAATAGTTTTGAGATATTTTAAAAAAATATTAAAGCAATGTAGTTTTCTTTTTAAATAAAACAAGACTTTAAATTATGTTGCCAATTAATTCACTGGATCAATTAAGTCTAGATCAAGTTTCATTTATTTAAATTAAAATATGATACATGCCAAAATCTAGGTTGATAGATCACCGACTCGACCAATCAATTTCTGGCTTTAATATCAAGACTTCAACCTAATTGCATTATATATATATATATATAGTAACTTCATCCAATCATCATCATGGATGCATGAAAAACCCTAAAATTGACCTTGAAATGATTTTCTGTTCCAATTATTGAAAGGTCAAAAATCTAGACCCAAACTAAATGATTACCTCATCAATAAATTAGACTCGGTGAAAGGGTATAAAATCTATAGGTTAGAATTCAATTCATGGGCAATTCCAGATTTTTCATGGGTTTATGAGCTCGGTTTCTTATCTGGTATTTGATTTTGTGGTTAGATTTTCTTTTTATATTTTTTTTATATTTAAAAAATTATTAAATTGATATTTTTTTGTTTTTTTAATATATTAATGTCAAAAATTAAAAACGATTATTAAATTGATATTTTTTTGTTTTTTAGATATATTAATGTCAAAAATTTTAAAAAATTATTTTAATATATTTTTAATTAAAAAAGTTATACAATAATACACCTAACAATTATAAATTTATCTCCTTTCATTTTTATTTATTTTTTTAAATAGTTTATCGATTTTTATTAACCGGGTGAAAGTTGATTCAATTACTAATTTAAGTTAATATATAATCTAGTTAATACTCGGTTTGATTTAAAAAAAAAACAATAAAACAACATTAGTTTAAACAATTTTTTATAAAACAATATTAAAAAATTATTTTAAATTAATCTAGATTAATTTATTTAACTCATAAACTGCATCTTTAAGTTGGGTCATAAACTGGATTGGGCTGAATAACTTTGGTACAAGTCATGATTTATGTTATTTTAATTTAATTATATTCCTGTCTTTTTCTTATTTTTCAAGCAACAAGAAAAGGACAGGAATGGGCCCTCCCTTTCCAAACCACCAACGTTTGGCACGTGGCATAGATTCCATATAGGCCACAAAATGCGGGACGGTTTGTCAATTGTTTGATTATCCAAGAATTTTCTTTTATGAAATAAATTCCAATTGATGTGATTTTGATTTCTTTTAATTATTGTGTATTGTTTACTAAGAGAAGTAAATTAATATTTTCATACTACATAAAAAAGACTAATTATAACTTGCTTTAAATGATAATTGGCAACGCTAATAATATAATTAAGAATTGATTTTTAATGTAGCAATCACTTTTTAATAATTCTATAAGTTTTTAAATATATCTTATACGCACATGCAAATGCAAGGTTAAGAGTATATTTTTTTATGTTTTAATAGTATTTTTTAAAAAAATAAAAAAAAATTATTTTTTTATTTTAAATTATTTTTTTATGTTTTTAGATCATTTTAATATATTAATGTCAAAAATTAAAATTTTACAAATTAAAAAAATAATATTTTAATATATTTATAATAAAAAACATTTTCACAAATAACAATTATCATAATACTAAATAAATTTTAAATCATCGAGAATCAGCGAAAAAACTTATATTAACAGATCTAATTGATAAATTTAAAACTATTACAACTTAAAAATAATTATTAAATTTTTAATTTAGAAAAGAACAAAGAGCATTTTTGTAACATAACCATATAAATCTAAAATCTAAAATTTAAATTTATAGATACAAAATAAAAGTAAAGTATAAAATTATGAAAGAAAAAAACAAGCACAATGTCATAAGTAATAAACTGATTATATTATTTAAGAATAAAAAAATAAAGATAACGAGGATATGTTTTTTTATAATTTATTTTTAAAAAATAAAAATATTTATTTAAAAACTATAATAAATATATATTTATTTTATATCAATATATTTATATTTTTAATAAAATATATTTTTATCTCTCATATATCTCTCCGCTCTATGCTTTGGAAATTTTAGAGATGAGGGAGGGGGCATCCCATTAAACTTTTGTTTACTTACTAGTGTTGTTTGCATATAACTTGAAGTGTTCACGATGAAACAACAAAATCACTTGGCCCCCAAATTTTTTTTAATAAAAATTAAAATAACTCACACAAATTTAATACAAGAATCGCAATTGTACCCCCCTAAACATGCTTTTCCTCAAAGATAACTTCGAGACTTTCAAACAAAAAAAAGAGTAATCATTGAAAGCACAAAGAAAATTCAAATAACATAAAGGGAAGGATATTGGCATGGTTGAAAAAGGAAAAGTAAGGAGGATAGAAAAGTAGAAAAAACACCATTTTAATTTGTTGTACATTTGGTTTGTTGTATGATTGGTTTGCATGTGATTTAAGTTTTTTTTGGTGGGATGCATATGTATTTTTAGCTTTTAAAAGTATGATTTATGCTTTAAGAAAGTTGTATCTTTAAAAAAATCACTATGCCTCTTATCCAAATACATTCTAAATATAGTTTTGGTAAGCTAGAGACCCGACTTGGTTTAGAAATAAAATCACTAGATTGTAAAGTTAATTTGAGGGCATCAAATTAATTATTTTATTTAAAATAATATTATTTTAATATTTATTTTCAATACTTGAAATTAATCTGAATATATCAATCAAATTCCAAGTTAACGTATTGAATCAATTAGATTTAGTATGGAAAATGTCCAAATTGACTCGAAAGAAAGTTTCTAAATAAAAGTAAAAAGATATTTGAGAGTGTAATAGAGTTGTTGTTTTTTAAAGTATTTTTTATCTATAAATGAATTAAAATAATATTTTTTATTTATAAAAAATTATTTTTAATATTAATACATTAAAATAATTTAAAATCATAAAAAATTTAAAATTAAATAAAAAAAAATTAAATTTTCGTGAAAGCGCGGTGACTGGTTTTAGAATATCTTAACGTTAGTGGCTATACACCCTTTTTCATTTCCTTCTTTTGCATGCTTCGCATGGATTGGTTGGACTTTGTAGCCTTTAAAGCAACTAAGATTTTTTCTTGTCATGATCAGTGGGAGAGCTAGGGGGGGGGCTCCATGCATATACAGTTG